AGGGGATATAAAGGTGGACTGGGACAACATACCGGGGTGGGGGTTTGGGAGACGATATGGATGCAAGACCCCTGGACCGGTCATTGGGAGCAGGTCAGAGTTCCCAAGCAAGAATCCGAAAATAGAAGGAAGAAAGGGCTCCCTCAACGCCCATCTTATTGGGGTGAGTCAGAGACACACAAGTGGTGCCATCGCCTGAGGGAGGAGAAAGAGGTGGCAGAAAGAGAAAGAGAAGCCCGTAAAGCAGGCTTGTCCAACCTTGGCCCTNTGCTGAAGGCTTCTGGGAGCTGAAGTCCAAGAACATCTGGAGGGCCAAGGTTGGACAAGCCTGCCGTAAAGCATGCCATTTGGCGGAACTGAAGAAGATGGGCTGTTACCTGGACCATGGAATGTCCAACAGGGAGAGGGATCTCCGCTTTGGGGATGGTCGGGAGATGAGGAAACCCTCCCATTATTGACTCCTGAGAGGAATGAAGGATCTTGGTGAGACCTTGGGAACCTAAGTCTTTGAATCCCTTTGAAACCGACACGTGGTTGCCCTTGCAGGAGCCGTTGCTCCCACAAGAGAAGTTTATGCCAAGCTTGCATGACGATGTTTCATTACCAGTGTTAATGACAGTTCTTTTGAAGCAAAAATGACTACTGGTTTATTTGGAGAAGGGGAGGTCCCACCATTCGAACCCTCGCAAGGTCATGACCCCGAAGGGGGATTGTAGTGTTTTCTGGGGGATTGTAGGTCACCTTCTATGTGTTGCAACCCTTGTTAAATAATTTCTTCCTTGACCTTTCAGATTGGGCTATTAAATTTAGAGTGTATGTTTATATATGAGAAGCAGGCCCATTGGAGGAGAAACAAGCCTCTACTTTCTGAGGAGGGATGACTTTACCCCACTAGAAATGCCTTTTTATGCAAACATGGCGGGAGGGTTGCAGGTAACTTGGTTATTGTAAAAGGGGGTTGCAACTCAAAAAGCACTGGGATAGACTGTTGATAAGATGTGTGCCAGTGCAATGGCATTCAGGGTAAGCCTTCAGGAATCTTGCTGGCCTCGAGACATGCACTCTTGCCTCAAATTCCAACCCAGAAGCATCGCTCCTCCCATATCCAGCAACCATCAGAAGACTTGACCACCCTGCTTCAGAGTCCCAGCTATTATAACCTTTCTCCATAGATAAATTTGTCTAGCTCCTTGGCTGTTTTGTTTGCCCTTTCTTGCACCTTTTCTGACTCTACAATATGCTGCCTCATATCTGACGACCATAATAACCCATGGTATTCCACAGGAAAGGGCACCATAGATTTCTATAGGGTCTGTATAATATTGGCCGTTTTAATTTTCATAAATTCTTATTTTCAGGATCGCAACAATCAAGTTTCCTTTTTTAAAAAAAGCAGCTTGCACACTAGATCAATATTTTCATGGAGCCATCTATCGCAGCCCCCAGATCTCTCTCTTTCAAATAGTTTCCAAGTCAGATCACAATTATCTTTCTGAAGCCAGGAGTTTTTTCCCCACCAATACACACATTTTTACAGTTACAGTGAATCTCATTTGCCATTCTAAAGTTCTCCTCGTTCAGAGAGAATCCTTTTTGGAGTTCTAAACAATTATTAACGATGTCATTCATTAACCAACCAACATTTCCCACCCATGCAGCCAAACACACAAGCATCCAATAACTTTGTTTTTGCCTTTTCTCCAAAAGTTCCATCCATACTTCATCTTTAATGGGGTTCTTTGCACTACGACCAGGTGCCTTGCAGAAGTCTGGGAGTGGTCGTCCTCAAAACAACATTTTCAAGGCCTACCAGTGATACACATTTTAGTGGAGCATGTTATCAGCCTTAAGCAGTCAACAAGCATACTGGGAGAGGGAATTATATCCTTTTGACTTTCCCTTTCTCTCTTGCAAGTTCATTTCCTCTCCTGGAATGGAATTTCACCACGTTGAAGTTTCTGGGCACTTCCAGAAAAAGATTTGAAAAAAAATATTTTTAAATGAATGACCCCCAAGTAGTTTGAAGGGTGGTCTGGACAAAAGATTCATTTCATGCCTCCCTAGAAGGCAGGACTAGATTGAACAGGCTTACGTAGACTTTCTTTTTATCTCTTGCTGATAACAGCTGTATGGGAACAGAATTGATTTTTATTCCTCTGAAAAGTCCCTTGTTAGCTGTGCTTAGAACAGGGAAACCGCAAGTTAATGGCAATAAAGCTAGTGGTTTAGGAATACCCCAGATAAAAATTCACATGTTCCTAGTGTGGCATTGTAATAAAAGTATGGACCAGAAAATGTCCCTGACAGGTACTTGGTGAGATGTTATCAAATTAGAGACAGATACAGTGGTGCCTCGCTTAGCGATTGCCTCGTTTAACGATGTATTTGCTTAGCGATGAGGTTTTTGGAGCGATCTTGCGCTCCATTTAGCGATGGTTCCTATGGGGAAAGTTCACATAGCGATGTTTGGGACCTTGCTTCGCTTAGCGATGACAGTTTAGGTCCCCCTGTTTCGCTTAGCGATGTCCGTTTTCGCTATTTTAAGTGTGTCTTAAAATGTTCAAAAACTGTTTAAAATGCTTAGAATTGTTAGTGCACCTTGTAAAACCTTTGCAAACTTAATTTGGCTTTGTTCTGAGTCTTCGTTAATTTTTGGTGAATTCCCCCCCCCATTGCAATGCATTGAACTGTAGGTTTGACAGCAATGCAATCCGATGGGGGGGGGAAATTCACCTGGTGCCGATCCGTGGGCTTCCTGGAACTGGGCCATGGAGACAGATCTCCACCCCCCTCCTACACACACAGTGTGCATTTTGCATTCACAGAGGGGTGTGTTGCGTTCACCCACCCACAAGCATGACACACCTCTCCACAAGCGCAACACGCCAACCCATTAGCGTGACACGTGCACCTGCGAGCGCAGGATTGCCTGTGCACACGGAACCCACACACACCCAACCGGTCCATAGTCCCTAAAAGGTTGGGGACCACTGATATAAATCATATGTTGAAAAGGTATCTTCTCTGAGCTTTTTTGGAACAGGTTTCAGTTCCATGAACTGACCTGTTTACTCCCAAGTTATTTGTATGAAACTACAACTATTTGTCCAAGCTAGGCCTTTTGTTGTTGTAGTAGGTTTTTTTTCAGGCTGTTTGGCCGTGTTCTGGAGGTTTTTCTTCCTAACGTTTTGCCTGTCTCTGTAGCCGGCATCTTCAGAGGACAGGAGTCAGAACTCTGTCTGTGCTGCACAAAAAAGCCTACCATCGGATCCTAGCCATGAAAGCCTTTGAGAATACAGTACGGCCAAAAGAAAAACCTACAACCATCAGCTCCCGTCCGTAAAAGTCTTCGAGAATACCTTTTTTTCTTCCTCACCAAAAAGCTCCCACCAGGAAGACCCTGGAGTAACCTATATGGATCTGAATTTAATAATCTTAGAACTGCAGAGCTGGTAGGGACCCTATGGATCGTGGAGTCACAGTGGGGAATTGAACTCCCAACCACTGAGCTATCCCAACGGTTTTTATGGATACAATCTCCCGATGACATCACCCTCCCATCTATAAAAGGCTGGTGCTTTCAGAAGAGAAAGTGTAACTGGAAAAGGAGCAGCGTGTGCCACTCTGACAAACATTGAGCCCAAAGCAGTGGAACTTGAGGCTTTAACTGACTTTCAGCAACACAGACACATAAAGACTGGTGAGTTCTCTTTATTGTTACTCTTCTGGGGGAGATGGAGGACTGTATTCTTATTTTGCCATCCCTTACGCCGGTGCCATCTGGCTGTTTTGGATTGCAACTCTTACAAGCTCCAAACAGTACCTCCGAGAATCAGGAACGATGGAGCTGTAATCCAAAATATCTGGAGGCTACTAAGTTGCCCGTTGGTGCCCTAGCAGAATTGTTGTTGAAAACACCAGCTAGATTTCGAAAGGCGTCTCCTGCGCCTTTTAGGATTAATGGGGAGTGGGGAAAAAGTTTCAGAACAAGCTGTTCAGTTAAGTAGTTGCCGTGGACAGTTGCTCGTGTGTAGATTTCCCCTTTTAGATGTCTACTGTCGACTAAATAAGGATGCCGGGGGGTGTGTGTGTGTCAGGATGGAACAAGATGTGGCCTCAGTCCATCCTCCATGTTTGCCCACATATGGGAGATATCCCTGAGCTAAGCAGGGGTGGTTGATCTCAAGAGGAGCTAAGAGCCAGTTTTGGGATTTGCTGGGGCAGCCCCGGGCTGTAACTCCCAAGAGGGAGACACTTTGAAAAAGGAAGGCATGGTGGGAAAAAAGCTAAAATGCAAATTTACCTTTATGTGTGTGTATATTTTGGAATGTTTGGAAGAAGCTTTCTTCTGCCTTCTAGGGGCTAAATGTAAAAAAAAAAACAACTTCAGTGGGTTGTTTGGAGACTCAAAGAGTCCTGAGGGGGACGTCAAAATATAGCAGAAAGGTAAGGGGACTTTCTGATCAAATGTTAATACAGTAATTTGGTGGGGGAAGATGTAGTGGCCTCCGGGGTGGCCGGGGTCTGCAAAATAGGACACCAGTGGACCATCCCCTGCTGTAGAGGAATTTTGGCTTCCATTTCTTATTCTGCTGTAGTAAAACAACAGAGTCCTGTGGCACCTTAAAGGATAACAGGAGCCTTGGGGCATAATGGTTAAACTGCAGTACCTTTTCAAAACTCTGCTCACAACCCAGGTTCAAACCCAGGTAGCCGGCTTGAGGTTCACTCAGCCTTCCATCTTTCCAAAGTAGGTAGATTGCACATTCAGCTCACTAGGGGTGGGGTGGAAAATGTGTAGCTTGCATAATTAAATTTAAACTGCCCGGAGAAGCTTTGCTATGGGGCTGTACTATAATGTATGAACAGCAAGCTTTGCTTTGTTTTTCTTTAATAGGTTTTATTTGGCACTCATTGAAAATGAGATCCTTTGTTTGCCTCAGTGGGCAAAAGGTATAATCAGGGATCATCTGAAGCTATCCATGAGTGTAATTAATTTGAAGATATATTTAAATCACCACAGACAAACAGGAAATAAGATCCATGAAATGAAGACACAATATTTAAAAAAAAAATCAAAGGGAAATCAATGAATTTCTATCTCAATACAATGATGAAATGAAAAGTGTAAAGCAGGAAACCTGTATTAAAGAATCAGGTGGAATTACAGTTATGCAGAATTAGCCACAGTTATAAAACTCTATATTCACTTCTAACCATCCACCAGCCTTCTAGCTGAAGCCATTTGTTTGATCTAAAGACTGAGAAGGAATGACATATATAGCTACCTATTCCAAGGAGCAGGTTCTTGAAGATTCAAGGGAATGTGCAGGAGAATTGATTCAGAAAACTAAAAAGAAAATCACTGTAAGTTTGTTTATGTGGCATGTGTGTGTAGAACCTCTCAGAAAGAATAGTTTTGTAAAAACTGAACTGAAGCAAGCTTCTCTCAGAATCAAAACCAGCCAAGGCCCCAGAGTAGCCAGAATCTGCTAAGGTAAAAATTAAGTGAGAAAAAGTGGACTGAGAAGCATCTGCATGTGAGCATGGATGTGAGTGCGAAAGAATGTGACTGAGACCCAGGCAACAGTTGCTTTTTGCTCCAC